GTCACACGGCCCTGCGAGGCGCTTAATTCACGCGAATTTACCGCCCGCTGTATATTTTGGGCGCCGCGCCGCGTGGCGGGGTTTCCGCTCTCTGGGGGGGCGCCTTCCCCCTCCACTCCCGACACCCTTCTCAGGGCGCTTCCTCCGTCCCCGGCATTAGCCCTCCTTTCCGTTGGTTTTAATATTGCTTCCCTGTTATTTCATGCTGCTTTGCTTTCTACCGTCGTCAACCTGCCCCTGTAATTGTATATTACTGAATGTTTCTGTTTATTGTGGATGGCTAATCTGTAAAGTGATTTCTTTAAAACGTTATTTGAGGAAAATACAGATTGAATTGAACAGTTGTCAAAGTATCTTTAGTATCAATAATAGTATTGCACAACTAATGTGAGTTATGACTAAGGCATGTCTTGGTACATATAGTACATATTTCATACCTAATAGACAATGAGAATTGATGTGTGCAACGTAAATGTCTTGGATAATATCAAACAATCAAATCAAACTGTCGTTTTACATAAAGTGGTATCAATTATATAAAACTGCTGTAAGATTATGCATATTTATGTCACAAAAACGCTTTAGAACCACTGGACTTATTGCTACCAAATGTGCACGAATTTGAGCGGCCAAGAATGTGAAATAACGTAGTTGCGATTCAAAATTTTACTCTCAAATGTTTTCGTTTTTTTTTGCAATATTGAGATTAACCTCCTACGCTTCTGGACGACGTGGTTGGCGTGTGAGGCGAGGCGGGGACGAGCGGAAGCGGTTGGAGCGGGGAGAGTGGGGGGAACCGGGGCGGGAGAGCAGAGTGAGTGAACCGGAAGCAGCGGGCAGATTGGACGGAGAGCAGAACGGGCGGAGTAGGCGAAAGGAGTGCAAGAGGTGAAAGGAGAATTGATGATCGATTGATTTGTGATTCCGAGAGCGTCAACGGCTAAGGTTATTGGTCCCGTAAGTGTAGTGCATGTTTCTGCCCGGGAGGTGGCGGTGTGGTCTTTCCCTCGCTGGATGGCGAGATCCGGCGCCTACCTACCGTCGGCTCTAGGGGTTTTCCCCAACCAGATATCTCTCCCCAGCGGGGTACCGCCCCAGCCGGGACAAGCTCTAACCTCTCGGCGTGTGCTTGTGACAGTATAGTGCTTGGCAGTGTGTGTAAGAAAAGGGTGAGGATAGGGAAAGGAATGGAAAGGAAAGATCGCGTGCGGTCTGTGGCCCTTTTGTTAGGGTACTGCTCCGTCATTCGCCTGGTATTGATCGAAGAAACTATTGGCAACCAATGATCAGCCGACCGAGAAGAAAAGCCGACTGCTGGAATTTTCCTCCAGACAGAGACTGAATTCGACCTAGCTGATAATTTAGTGTCGAAAATCCTGCCATCGTCGGGACTCGAACCTTGGGCCTCCCAGAGGCACTGCAGTGACATCAGTTGATGCCCTGAGCCACCTTTTCCGGTGTGGGGAAGACAGTCATGGCGGGCAAGGCTGGTTAATAGATGATTGTAATAAATAAATACCCGGGCAACGCCGGATAGTCAACTAGTATTTCAGTAAAAGGATTCGAATAGTTTCATTTTTATTGCAACATAGTATGCAACAAGCAAGTACACCGTCATGCTAATCATCACAGTTCGTAACTATGTTTTTAGCATTTGAGTAAGTTTTCTTATTGATTAGTTTACTTGAAATTGTAGAAGTCAATGCCTATCTGTTCAGTCCAGTTTGAGATGAAAATATTAGTATTTTATAGTGAAAATATGTTATTTAACTATATTTTCTGTAGAATTCTGTTTTCTGAATAAAAGTAAATATTTTGGTAAACGTGCTGAATTTATTAGCAACCTTTTTGTTACGTCATATTAGAATCTGCAATGCCATTGATTAATGTTGATGCTGTTGAGGCAAGACTTTGGCTTACAGAGCGTGGTTAGAAGGGCCATGATTCGACTCCGGGTACGGTAATTGATTTCCTCCCTCTTCATTACCTTCTAGATCTGCGTCTTTCGCGGGGTCAAACCGGCAGGAACACGAACATCCCTTCCGCGATAGACCGAGGCCAGGAGGTTGGGCTGCATAGTTTCCGCCATCACGCTGAGGGTGCCGGGGCACTTGTTTTTAAACCATCAAGTGAAGGAATTCGCCGATCTGGATAGCCGAGGTGGCTGAGAGCGTGTACCGAAGCGGTATTTCGGTCCGAAGGGTCGCGGGTGTGAGTCCCGCCTTGTGTATGACTGTTTGTCCCGTGTCTCTCGAGCATGTGTTGTCGCGGAGGGCCTCAAATTCTGCTGACCCCAGTTCAGAGGTGCTCGCAAGTGTGTTGGTGTCTTGTGCACGGTGGAATATGCAACACATCGGGAGGCAAAGAGTACACCATGTAACAATTAGATGAATCTACTTAAGTATATAACGTAGGTTTTTCAATTGAAATATAATTATAATCTCATGAAATTAGTGGATCAATAAAGAATGTTTGTCTGAATTTCAGTATTATTAGTAATATGAGGTTTTCTTCGCAGAATTTTCAAGATTTCTAGTGATTATTCGTAGCACGTGCTTACAACGTACGAAGTTTGTCACAATTTTCCAAAGTGTGCCTCTGCTGCTCAACTTCACATTTGAAGCTCCTACTGATCTTAATTTTATTTCCTTACCGAGCAAAATTTCGATGATAAAATAATTGTTTAAAATTCACTTATATTTCACAAAAAATACGCAAAACTAGTTACTCGTATTTTCGAAAATTTGTATATGAAGTTCTTTCAAGATCTGTCTCAGAACAACAGATTTCATCCAGGAAAATATATGTATCTTCAATATCTTCAAATCTTTAGTTGCAGGAAGACACCGAAAATATTTTGAACTTTTGGAATTTTAGAAAACTCAGAGATTTTAACACAATTAGTTTCGCGCCATTTTTAAGAGTTGTTTACGCTATCCAAAGACAAAGTTTAATAAAAAGGTTAGGAGTCATTTTTGAGAAAAACTTCAGAACGTTGATGCTTCATGGAAAGTACCTCCAAAAATCAGAGTATATGTTTCAAACGCGAAGTGTGTTTCAATAGCGAGTTTATTCAGATGGATCAGGCAATAGAAATTTCGAAGAAAACCATCTGAACAGTTTAGGTGGTAGTGTTGATCACTGACAGACGGACTGATGCACGGACGATGCCGCACCTTTTGCCGTCACTAGATTTTTTGGAATCAAGGACAGAACAAATCACGGATTGTGATTTCACAATGTGAAAGAGGATGTAATTTACTACACATAGGAACAAGATGTGTCCAAGTTTTCGTCGCGAGGCCCCAGCAATAAGACTATTTCCGGTGCACGATTACAATACTTTTTTAACGCAGTATGGCCAGTTGGTAGAATGAAGTATCTGTTCTTTGCTCAGTCATTCGGTTAGAAGGTATTTCTCATTTCTGCTCGTCACTTTTCTGTGTTACTGCCAACGCGATCAGCGTCTTGCTTCCTCCACCCCCACCACTTCTACTCTGCGGGCTTTTCGTCTCGCTTCACCGCCCCCCTCCCCCTCCCCCCCTTACAAATACTTGTCCTGCTTACAAGTGCCGCCGCTTCGCAGTC